AGACTCGGTCTGAGTGAGGCTTTTGGCTAAGAAAGCCGAAACCACTCGGCCCTGGAACGATGATGCTGCATCGCAGCAAAAGCGTCGCAGTTCTACTCGTCCAACCTCATCGATTTTAAAAATGAGCTCTCGCCTGCTTTTGCTCTCCCCGCTCCCTTGCATTGGCGCCCGGCATGAAGATGGCGAGGGGATTGGCTCGTTCGTCGAGGGCTGCGGTCGTGGTGCCACTGCTGCGAGTCGATCCTACGTAGGTCCAACCAGTTGGAGCTGCATCGATAGTGGGAGGGAAGAGCTAGCAGATGCAGTGATACGGCCGGACGCGTTTGGGAGATACGATTGGGCGGGAGAGCTGCAGATGCTAGACCCGAGGGGGGAGCTTGGGAATGACGATGTGTACAGATTGTGCTATGCTGATGCATATCGGATGGGGAATATGGGGATATCTGGATAACGGAGTGAAGGCGGTTGAAACGCCGGCGGATAGCGGGGATGGCAGCTGGACGAGGACTGAATCTGTCTCTCCCTTCAAGGCAGAATCCCATTGCATTACTCATTTGCTCTCTACGTGGGCCGCATACTCTGCAACGGCGGATGCATCAAAAACCTACGCTCTCAACTGCGCATCCCTCCCGTCCCCGTTGGCAACTTTGCTCGGCCTGCATATCATGTTGCATAATAAGGCGACTTTGTGTGTCGGGTTTAGCTGCTGCTCTGCCCCGTTGTCTCGTTTAAGTGCATCCTGCTCCACCAGGCTCACCAGATCAGAAATTGGCCCACAACATGCCCCGTCCACTCAACACGTCTCGCCGCGCCCACTGGAACACGCCCCCCTCCAACTTAAACCCGGACGCCCGAAATGCCACCAAAAAACGCGCCTTGCTGGACCCCCCCAGGCGTAGGCGGGGGGCCATCACTCATTGTCAGTGCCCCGTTTCCTCCCTCCCGCTCCCTTAATACCTTAGCACTTCGCCCTCCTCACCCACCCATCCTCCCACACCTCTCCCACACACCACCACACAAACCTGCTCTGGTACAAGCTGCCTCTCGCTCTCTTTAAACCACTCCATTTCTCCCTCAAACATCATAACAAGACACGCCCTCGACGAGCAACCTTTTTCCAATCTGCTTATTTTGAACAACATCGTCGCGAAAACCCACCTGACTCTCCCAAGCGGTAAACAAACAACACCACTTCCGCCACATCCACCTAAGCCGTCTCGCTTCCTTCCTGCATCTCAATCGACCGCCCTTTCGCCCCAGCATACCTACTGCTGCTTACCTTGCCTTGCTCCGCATCTTGGTCGTCATCCCACCTGACGCCCAACCCCGAACTCGACTGGACCTGACGAGAGGCTTCGCTGGACACGACTTCTCGCCCTCATCCGTCGGCACTGCCAATTGTCCCTGCATCACCAACTCACATCCGACGAAATGGCCACCACTGTCCGTCAGCCATTCGCTCCCCTCGACGGGGCTCGTCTGCAGACCCTAACCAGCCTCAAGAACAGGCAAAATGGTACGTGGTGAAATGCTTTGCTCCATGCGTTGTTCGTGAGGAATGTCGGGTTTGGGTTTGGAGGCTTGGGCAGCATTTACACCGACATGCAACGGCAATGCAGCAATCTCCCCACTCTCCACATCCCACAATCATGCTTGACTCGGAGCATCAATTGTCAAGCATCATCCAGCTAACATGCCGCAGCCGTCCCCTCTCCCGCCGCCGGCAAGCGCAAGGCTGAGCTGATTGACACTGACGACTCGGAAAACGTCGACCCCATCTTCATCAAGCGCTCCAAGGGCGCCAGCTCTGCCACCCCCTCCAAGGACTTCTTCAAGCCCTCTGCTTTCGTCCTCAAGGCTGCCCCAGTCCTCGCCGCTACTCCCAGCACCCGCTCCTTTGCCACCCCGATCAAGCCCGCATCGTCATCTCGCCGCACTCTCCACCCCCGATCCCCCGCTCTCAAGCTCAACTCGGGCATCACCAAGTCCTCTCCCATCTACGCCCCCGCCGGCCGCTCGCCCACCCGTGGCAAGCGCGCTGGCCTCCTCTCCAGCCGCCGCCGTACCGTCGGCCCCTACGCCCGCGTCGATCCCCCTTCCTTCGGCCTTGGCTCCGAGGCTCCCTTCTCCCTTGATGCCGCTCTCAAGGGCACCATTCCCGGCTACGGTGCCTCTCGCCCGGCCCTCAAGCAGTCCTCCAACGCTCTTCTCGAGCCTGAAATGAGTGAGAGCTGGTTCTTTGAGATCCACGAAGACACTCCCGAGCAAGAGATGACCAACCTCCTTCAGCACAGCACCTGCACTCTCGATATCTCATCAGACGAAGAGAGCGAGCGCAAGGCTAGCCGAGAGCGCGCCGAGGGCCGCGATAAGGAGAACATCCCTCCCCCCGACGATGTCTCCCAGACCTCATCTCGCCGTGCTGCTCGTCTCGGTACCGACGACATGGTCGTCGAGAAGGAGCGTGTAGCCCTTGGCGAGATGAAAACTGCCGACTTTTACGCCGAGGGTTGCGATGAGACGTCCGTCATCATTGTCCCTGGGGATGAGGAAGAGCAGCCCGCCAAGGTTGAGGCTCGTTCTCCCATCACCAAAGAGTTTACACTCTCTCCTGAGCTCAAGGCCGAGGATCCTGTCTCAGACGTTGAGCAGGATATCGACACTCTCATTTCCAAGCCAACCGAAGGCTCTTCAAAAGCCGCAGTCCTAGAACCCATGGAGGGTACCGGGGAAGTTTTTGAGCTATGGGAGAGTGGCAGCGCCAAGGACGACACCGAGGCTACTGCAGTTGCCAGCTCATGAGCGACAAAGGGATTGTAATGATGAATGGGGTCATGAGTAATGAGTCCCGGTTGGAATGGATGGACAGACATTGAGGACATGGATTGGACTTGTTTAATACCAGGATTGGAGTATGGGCTGGCGTGTTGGCGTTTCTGGGAATCACGGTGACGCAGGCTACCAAGGGCTGGAGTACTGTTGTTTTTGTTTGGCCTGGTTGATTGTTAGTTTTTCGATGGTTCTGTGGCATCACAATGAATTGAACCTGTTTGAATGTTCACACGATGATTTCAGTGCAAGTTGAGTGATTTAATAGGAGTGCTGGCATGAATCTGGATGAATCTGCTCGATACCGGATGTAGACTCATTGTCAATGTTCAACACTTGTGCAATGTAGGTTTTTCTACGACCAGATGGAGGCATGGTTTCGGGACATACACTCGGTTATCTTGGCGAATCCACCATGATCTGATCTGGCCTGTTGATGTCTCGTTCCGGCACAGGGAGGGAGAAGCCTGTTGCCGCATCCGGGTCGTATGGAAGCCCGCTTTGTCCCATCAGCTGATGGTTTTGCGCACTGTGCTTCGGTTGTCCCAGGCTCGGCCAACTTGGCGGCCAAGTGAATGTGGCTGCGCTGGAAAGCTCGCAGCAGGTGGCGTTTTCACAGTGTAAATATGCAGATCTCGGAACGGCCCAGATCCCACTTCCCCTCACATTGTTGCATTGATAGGTTGTCAACTCACTCACCTGCAACCCGTCGATCCGTCGCGACAATTGAGCACTGATACGCGGAAAGAGAACAAATCCAAAAACGATAAAATAGAGTTCCCTGCTGCGCGCTCTGCAGGGATGGCATCCATCAACGACCTCGCCACGGCGGCCATTGCGAGCTCCTCGGCTGCCGACAAGGCCGCGAGCGAGGGCGGCGCCACGACCCGAGGCGCTTTTGTCGTTCTCGAGGGGCTAGATCGCAGCGGCAAGACGACACAGGTCAAGCTGCTAGAGCAGAGGTTCGTCGAGGAGGGGAGGCCGGTCAAGGTGATGAGGTTTCCCGGTGAGTTTTGTTGGAGAAACGGGCGTGCATATGAATGAGGGCTGAGGCGTGGGACAGACCGTACAACGCCAATTGGCCAGATGATCGATGCCTATCTGAAGAGTGATGTTGAGATGGACGACCATGTCATTCATCTTTTGTTCAGCGCCAACCGGTGGGAGGCTGTGTAAGTCGATTTCTGCCCGCGAGGCATTGCAGTCACCATAACCGGGACAACGTTCAAGACCTAACCCAAATTCCAGATCCCAGATCCAGGCCCTTCTGGCCTCCGGCACCACCATCGTGTGCGACCGGTACTACCACTCGGGCATCGTCTACTCAGCCGCCAAGCAAAACCCGTCGCTGAATCTATCCTGGGCGCGAGCCCCGGAGCGCGGCCTCCCGCGACCAGACCTGGTGCTGTTCCTAGACCTGGACGAGTCGCTGGCCAAGGCGCGGGGCGGCTGGGGCGGCGAGCTGTACGAGAAGGCGGCGATGCAGAAGCGCGTGCGCGAGCTGTTCTGGGGCCTGAGCATGGGGGGCCGGGACATGCGCGCCGACGAGGGCCTGGTGGACAGCGCGGGCGGGCTCGACGGCGCGCAGTGGAAGCAGGAGGAGGAGGACCTTGTTGTTGTCGACGCGGGCGGGAGTGTCGAGGATGTTGCGGAGGAGATTTGGGGCAAGGTTAAGGGACGAGTTGAGTTGGTTGAGAGGGGCGAGGTGGGCAAGGTTGTGAGGGTTGTGCGGTGAGGCTATGCAAATGAGACATGTTGAGATTTGTACGCTGTTACGGGATCGTTGTGATGGAGCTTCGAGCGCTCTTGATGGCAGCTTGTATGTACTTGGAAGCCATGTGTAGGATATTTAGGACGGAAATACGCTGGCATACAAAAGCTTCAACACATACGCAAGCACATGTAATAAGTTATGTTATTCAAGTTTCACCTCATTACCTTCAGTACGTCTTTGTGAATTGGTGTGGAGGCTTAGATGTTCCATATATCTCTCACTCTCTGTCTATCAAGACCAGTCAAGTTCAGATATTCAAATAGCACCCAGAGGGCCACTCCCTGGAGAGAGTGTGGAAGCCAAAGGCCATGTCCACGAGGCAAAAAGAGGGACAACGCAGTCAGCGTGGCTTGCATTACTGAGCGGGCCAGTTGTCAGACACAGCAAAAAAATGAAATCCCCAAGACCTGGCTCGAACAGGTGACCTTCTGATGACTTTGTAGCGATTACAGTCAGACGCTCTTCCAGCTGAGCTACTCGGGGATGCTGCTGGACTGAAGACGGGGTCTTCTTGCTGATGTGAGAAGATGTTAGTTGTCAATATAACCCCTCTGGCAGGGGTATTATGGTCCCCGAAAGTTGTGCCAGCTCTGCGGGACTAAAAAAAAAGCTAAGCGGGAGCTAGGAGTTTTCCCCCCACTGTGAGAATAGGGCGAGGGAAATCTAGTTCGACTAGACAAAAAGATAGGATGCTCCCCAAGACCTGGTTCGAACAGGTGACCTTCTGATAACAGGTACTATTACAGTCAGACGCTCTTCCAACTGAGCTACTCGGGGGCTGTTTGTTGCGGGTATTAGGGCATGTTGTGGTATATATTGAGGCCCAACGCCAAGAAGCTGACATGCAGGTCGGTGAGCTTTGAATGCTGATGGTGGGGTTGGGTCATCTTTATTGAGGTGGGGGCGGCATGTGAGCATGGGATGGAACAAGAAGCGAGAACGAATAGGAGCAAAGATGGGAGGATGAAATGAATGTTGGTTAGATAAGGAAGGTTTACAATTTTTCGAGAGGCGAAAGGAAGAGGTTTTTTCTTTTCCTCCCTTGCGTCCTTGCTTCACCGACTCGCTCTTGTCTCACTAACTGCCGAAACCGGCGCCGTATCATTCGACGCCGGAAAAGCTCTATGACATCAATTGGTCAGTTTTGCGATGGGGATCACTTGGAAAACAACCGGTCAATCTATTTAACTTTTGTGTTTACGCCTAGCCTCGAGTCGGCAAGATGATAGATGGTCAGTGTGTGTCCCAAACCAGCCAGCCGCCCGCTTGAGTGAATCCGACAACTTGAAGTATGAATCCCAGATTTCCGTCTAGATTTTTAATATTTTTTTTGGAGTTGGTCTAGTTGAACACAACGGTCTTGTGGCCGTTGAGGAACAGGCGGCGCTCGGCGTACCAGCGCACGGCAGCAGCCAGGACCTGGCTCTCGACGTTGGATCCCTCCTCGGACAGCTCCTTCGGGTTCATGCTGTGGTCGACGCGTGCGACGCGCTGCTCGATGATGGGGCCCTCGTCGAGGTCGGCAGTGACGAAGTGGGCGGTGGCGCCGATGATCTTGACGCCGCGGTCGTAGGCCTGGTGGTAGGGTTTGGCGCCCTTGAAGGACGGCAGGAAGCTGTGGTGGATGTTGATGATGCGCCCGGACATGGCGGCGCACAGCGTCGGCGAGAGCACCTGCATGTAGCGCGCGAGCACGATCAGCTCGATGTTGTGCTGCGCTGCGAGTTCGAGGACCTGCGATTCCTGTTGCGCCTTGGTGTCCTTGGTCACGGGTAGGTGGTGGAACTCGATGCCGTAGGATTTGGCGAGGGCTTCGAACTCGGGGTGGTTGGATACGATGACGGGGACCTTGAATTAGTTAGCGATTGTGTTTCCTCCCCAGTGTAAGTGTAAATGGAACAAACCTCAATACGCAACTGTCCTGTCTTCATGCGGAACAGCAAATCATTAAGGCAGTGTCCAATCTTAGACACCATGATGAGGACGCGCATCTTGCGAGCGACGGGCCGGATGTCGTACTCCATGGTGTATTTTGCGGCGAGGTCGTCAAAGGCCGGGACGAGGTGCAGGGTGGACTCGGTCTCGGTCGGGCCAAAGTGCACGCGCATGAAGAAGCGGTCCGACACGGGGTCGGAGAACTGCTGCAGGTCCAGGATGTTGTGCGCGTTGGCCGCGAAGATGCCCGTCACGGCGTGCACGATGCCCGGCTTGTCCGGGCACGAGAGGGTGAGGATGTGGTCGTTGGCCATTGTTGAAGAAGGGCGCTGACGTAAATGGTTGAAAGGTGATGATGATGGATGAAGGAGGGAAATGAATTGAGTAGATCTGCTCGTATGAGGGACTCTTTTCTCCCCAAACTATGACTCGAAGCTTCGCCGGACACCCACCCCCAGGTGAGGGGATTCGCTCCGATTTGACCCCACTGCGGGCTAACCCTTCCGGACCATTCGGAGCAGACTCGGCAACTCTCTGTTTTGGGCCAACTTGAGGGAGATGGTCATTGAGTCACTTTCCTTTCTGTCGGGTGATTTCATTGTTAAATATCTCGTTCACTTCTTCTATGCGGTCACCTACTAATATTTTCTCGTCGCCCGGGCTGGGGGGTCGTCGTGTGCTGATTCCTCGGCGATCGTCCCAGCTCCACTGCGGCCGTGTTTCGGGGTGCTCTAGGGTAGGAATCCTGTCGATCCCCGTCATGTTTGCGGCAGGCTTCAAGGCGTGGATATCTTGTCGTGAGATATGTTAGTATATATTTGGGTTAAGATATCGTATCAGTTGCGTTTTTTTTAAAGTGATGATGGGTTTGCCATTATACGGCGACCTCGAGCTACGTCTGTCATGATGCTCACTAACACATTCCGTCGGGAACAAAAGTTTGCAATTAGTATGTAATGAGTTTTGCATGAAGGTTTATAGAGTAGCAGGTTAGACGAAGAAACAGCTTTAAAGTATCAGCTAAGGGTCTACAGCTACTGCATCACCCATCCGTCGGCCTTCACTTTGGCTGCAAGGGACATCTTCTCCTTGTCGGCCTCCTTGTCGTTCTCCCCGTTAGTCGTCTCGTCATCCTGTGCCTCCATAACATACGCGTCCATCATCGTCTTGTTAATCCAGGGCTTCTTGGCCTTAGCAGTCTCATCGATGTCCCGCGTCACAACCGACAACTCCCTCTTCTCTTTTGTTGATTTGGGTTCCGCATTCCGGGCTGCTTCTTTCTGCGCCTTGGTCGCCCACGCGTAGAACTCCCCCTCGACCACATGGGGTTTCGCATCCTGGGCGGGCTCATCATCCTTGGCAGGTTCGTCATCCTGGACAGGCCTATCGTGCTGTGGCGTAATCAATCCACTGAGCAACTTGATGCTCTCCTTGACTGCCGTCTTAGTAAGGGATTCCGTGTCCTGGTCGGGCTTATTGACATCTTGCGCCACAGACGGCTTGCAGACCAACTTGACCTTCTCATCGCTGGCAAGCGGATTCGATTTCTTATCGGTCAGAAGTTCACCCAGTGCAACCAAAAAGTGAAGCTTCTCATCGGTTGAGTCCGTATCCTGGGCAGCCGTCTCATTGACATCCTGCGCCAAAATCAACTCGCAGTCCAACTTGATCTTCTTCTCGATGGCAAGGGGCTCCGATTTCTTGTCAGTCAGAAATTCGCCCAGCGCCGCCAAGAACTCGAGCTTCTCGTCGGCTGCGTCCCTATCCTGGGCAGCCTCGTCGACATCACGCTCCCCAACCGACCCACTGAGCAATTTGATCTTGTCCTTGATTGCTGTCGTAGTAAGGGGCTCCGTATTTTGGGCAGTCTCATCGACATTTTGGGGACCTTGATCAGTGAGTGTCTTGTTGAATGAATGTGTCACTTTAGGATCGTAAGTGTCGTTGAGAAGCCCCTTAGCTACCCAAGACTCGTAATTCGCCATGTTTGAATTGGATTTCGATTTGTTGGTAGTCAAATCGGCCTTGGCAGCATCCAGTCGTGTCCATTGCATAGAATTGGTTTTCTCGTTTTCTTCCTTGGTGTCTTCTCCCTTGGCGCCATCTTTCTCATCGTCATCTTCATCATCGCTATCTTCATCACTATCTTCCTCATCGTTTTCTTCCTCAGCATCCTCTGACGAGACCGCCCTGGTGGTATGCGAGACGACAGATGAAGGAGCCGTATCCGTCTTCGTCACATTGTCGTCATTGATTGAATCATCCGCCATCTCGCGGCTCAGCGATAGTTCAACGGCGGACTTGGGTTCCTCGACTTCTTCACTCTGCATTGACTCGTGCTCGGGTGTTGGAACCTCCTGGGGAAGTTCGGGCAGGTAGTAGCCCTTGGCAGGGAATTGTTCTGGCGTCTGGGGGATAGCACGAGCCATTGCTGTTGTCGCAGCCACAGCAGCTGCCAATATGGTGGATGTCTTCATGTTGATATAACGTTGAGATGGTGTAAAAGTAGTATTGAGATGGTGTGGCAATGATGGTTTGATGATTGTTGTAGAGTAAGGAGCTAGCGAAGGTGAAAAAGTCTTCGATGTCTTTGAGTGTTTGTGGTTAGATGAAGGTAGAAAATAATGATCGAGGTCTTGGGCGAATGGTCAATTCTTATATACTAACTCCTGGCCATGAGGGTTGCTCACCAGGGTTCTGTTTGATCCTGTCTAGAGGTTAAAAGAGACAGAAAAGCTAGCCATCCTCGCATATCCTGAGATGACGACGCTGGCCACATTGCCCCATAGTTCGGTGCCTTGAACCATTCTTGGCTATATCTGGGTGCATTTCACCTTCCGGGTTCTTTTTCTCGAAGGCCTCACTTTTTGATGCTTATTTCTTGTTTGTTAGGGTGTCGGATAACTTAGTTTAACACATATTGGCTTTCCTATGCCTGTTTAGAATTTTCTTGCATTTTAGTTAGGTCGCTCATCGTGTGAGAAACGGGGCCTTTTCTCTTGGATTTTACCATTATGCCTAATTTTGCATTTTCATAATGGGAAGCACTGGATGATATTGATGGGATATTAAGTTGACCACTGATTCGTCTTCCACCCAAAGACTTTACTGTTCTGATGTCAATATAAGAGAGAAATCTGGGTATTAGTGGCAAAGCAACTTGGAATATCATTCCACCGGCCCGAGTTCTCTAATCGCAGCTCCATTCGCTTTGTGACCAGTCTCGAAAATGTCCTCAATCTAGATCACGTCGTCTTAGCTGGCATGGCCGACGAGTTGCCAGTTCATCTCGTGCAAAGTCAACAAAATTTTCACTGATGCGGATGAAAAGCCCTGCTTCAGACGGGTAATGGAGACGCCATAAAAGGAAGGCTGTCTATGCGACCTGCAACGTCTAATATTTGGCGATTGACTGAGCCTGGGGGAGTCACGTGGGGCCCAAGTCACACGGGCTTATCTCCCTCGGTCAGTGACCAATCCCCCGCCTATTTCCATCATCCCAAGCTTCCACATCACCCTTTCAAACCGTCACCTGTTTCCCATCAACC